CCGGAAGATATTCAACNCGGAAGTGAACATCGATTTCCTGTTTAAACCGGAAGTGAAATTGAAAATTTGACTGTACCGTTTTGTTTACTTTCTTAAACTGTCTTTGCTCAATTTTTTTCAGATTAATCAGACAAAAAGCAAAAAAAATGAAAAAAATGCAAAATTTGGCAAAAAAAATGTCTGCGACAAATTTTCGAATTTTGAAATTTTGAAACTGCTATTCTTTCAGATTTTAACAGTAGATTCCAAAAATGCAAACCCAAAGAAAATCGACCCAAAAATACGACTTCTAGAGCCGATTATCTATTCTTGCACATATTGAACTGTGGCACTTCCGGTTTTGCAAAAAAGATCCAAAATATATTTATGCACATCGTCGCCTATATCTAAGGTTCGTGAACGTTGAAAGGTTGCTGCAACTATTGTAGTCTAAGCTCAGGAAGGTGTGTAAAAATCGAAAAAAAAAAAAAAAAAAATGAATTGACATTTCGATAACAAACTGGGACTTTGCCGTAGCAAAGTCCCACAATTATAAAACCTGCTAAATCCTCAAGAATACTGAGATTCTATCTAATACTGACTGGGGAGCTGATAGATAGGTCCTTCTCTAAATATATCAATCTTGTGTTTGTTTCAAGATAAACTATGGCAGCATGGATCAGACTGTCCATCCTCTAGCTAGGAGCTTGATACCATCCATAATCAAGAAACGCAAATCATTAAAGGTGAATTTCGCACAACTCTAGTTGAAAGTTAGAACTTGTTAGCAATCAAAATGGCATCTTTACTGCATTGACTCTGAGCCTTGTGCTATTTCTTCATTTGGAGTACATTATTTTAGGTTCTTGTCTTGTTTTATTTTGAACAAATACTTACTGCCATGTTATTAGATTCTGTAATGGATGTTTTCGTTGTTGACACATGTATATATTTACCCGTAAATAAATGTCGTAACTACAAAATAAAAATTCATTGAAATAAATGGAGCAGAAAGGGAATCTTTATACTATCCATTCAAAATGGAAAATATGTACTTGTGTAATGTCATACAGAACAGAATATTGTTGTCATTATAATATAGGCCATGATAGAGCTTCCCCACTGATATATATTAAACAGCACCATAGTGAAAAGACTTAAATTTCATAACATAAATCTCTGCTTGAATAAAGATTTACATTAGAATGTTGTCAACATTAACATGGTGTCAATTGTTCTTATTTTTGAATGATTTAATATTAAATAAATATAAGATATCAAGTTAAAGTATACTATCATAAGACTTAAAAATGTCATTTTTTTTTCAGATGACATTCTCAACGGGCATTTATTTCAGATGACATTCTCAACGGGCATTTATTTCGGATGTGAAATCTGTAAAAACTGCATGTGATAATGTCAATAGTGTTCAAATGTAACCTTCTACTGTACATTCTTGCTAAATTCCTGGGGAAATGTATGTGTAAATTTAATAAACTTAATTATCTCATTAAGCAAATATCTGGGACTATATATACTTTCAAAGCTTAAACACTATGCTACAATATAATATTGGAAATCTAAACAGTAGAAATTGATAGAAACGATATGTATCCATGTAATAGTAGGCAAATATACAAGGACATTTGATTTTTCGCTGATGGGATTATGTTTTCTCTTTTGTAATATAATGTATTAAAGTGTTACATTTTTTAAAATGGTTTTATATAGAACAATAATTAATGCTGGATAGGCTTTTAATATAAAAACTTTGGGAGGATAGTCAAGGCTAGGTATAGAGTGCCTGTTATCTATTTCAAACCCCTTGATTATCTATTGAACTCTTCCACACATGCATATTTCTATCAATATGAAACTGTATATATGAGTATGTATAATTGGAACAGCTTATTTCTAAACATTGGGGGATGCGGGAGTGTTGATTGTTGCCTTGATAACTATGAACTTTATGTCTCTATTAAAACAGTAATTAATACATGAATCATAAAAGTATCAAATAAAAAAGATGCTGGAGTTTAGCTGAAAGAGCATGAAGAATTATTGTTGCTATCAATCAGGTACTCTCATGGAAGCCTTTGTTTTGAATCCAGAAGTGAAGGATTGAAGTTACGCCATAAAAAAATCTTAAGATTGTTTCAGGTATGTGACTATGTGAAATGTACATGGTATAAGAGACTGTTGATAAAGAATTAGAACAGTGGTTTATTAGAAGACAATAGCTAATCAATAATCTTCTTAATGCAGAATCTTCTTTCAAACTAAAGCAGTATATGTAGTAGATTGTTGAAAAGTTCAAAAAAATATTGGTTGCTAAGTATTGTAAAGACACAAATATTATCTTTTTGTATGAAGGTAAATTGAAATAATCAATAATAAGTAAAATATGGTTAATTTTCAACAGATGATATAAGTTTAAATGCTAATATTAGACCTCTATCATATATCTTTGAGGATGACAAAACAACAAAATGACATTATTTCTTAATCCTTTCATTTACTAATGTGAAATATTTAAAGCTGTACATATACACCATAATATGTTGTGTATTATCGTCTCTTCAAGATATTTCTACCAGGTTTCCAAAATAAAAGAAATCCAAAGAAATTCCAATATTTTCAAACCAGCAAATCAACACACTTGAGAGTAGCTATATTTTCGTTTGGTTTTGTAATGAAAAATCCACACAAAACTGATTACAGAGTGCCCTGAAAAAGGTTGTTTTGATTGATGAACATCCATGATCTCTAGTGAACTACTGTCCAATCAATTTACTGATAGAGGTGTGTCTGAAATAAGGATTGTCTTGTATCTGTTTCTTATATTTTTGGAGAATTGTATAAATCATGTAAAATTGTAGCATGCTTTTAGTTGCCAGCATAAATAGATAACCAACATCATATAACTGTATTAACACAGCCTACTATAAATTACAATGTATCTATAAGAGATAGAAAATCATATGAATAAATATATGCACTGCACTAACCTGTATAACTTGTCCATATAAGACTTTACGTCCAAGTTGACGTTTCTGTTCAGAATCATTGTCTTCACTTTCAGAATCAGCAGTTATTTTAGCTTGAGCTACAGAGTTCTTTAAAGCAATATCATCTGGTCTATCATAAGACTGAGCTTGTAATTTTCTGTATCTTTTATTCAGTTTATATCTATTGGCTACACATATTTGGAATGATATCACTAAAATTGAACAATTTAACTTGATAAAAGTTTTAAAGTAATCTGAAATAAAACAGTTCATGAAGAAACTGAAGTTATTAAATGTTTTAGAAAATAAGTTTAAATTCATTGATGTACTAATATTTGTATCTTCTGCTATATAGTTTAGATACTTGCATTAAAGGGATTGTAAAGAGGTTTTCTAAATTTTGTAAGTGTATCTGGAACAATGATAGCATCAACTTGCACCATTTCAAATTTTCAATGCGACATCTGTTGTTCTAACAATTCTACTAAAACTAAGTGTCACACCTGAAGTTAGATTCTAAATATGAAAAGTGTTCTGAATACCTGAAAATGAGCATCAATCAACTATTACACTATTATTTAGATGACTGTAACCCTTTGAGTGTGTTTCATGAACAAGTACCATGAAGTTTGTAACTTACCTTGTTGATCAGGTATATAAGGTCGAACTCTGTCTTGTCGGGAAGCAACTGCTATCTCAGAATGTACTGAACTGAAATATACATAATATTACACATGAATGTTATCTTGATATTTCATTCTCAACAGCAGCAAGTATGTCTTATCTTTACAAAAAATTCTTACTATAAAAAAGTATGGTATAAATGAAAATAACAAATTTCAGAATTAGATTTTTACTGAACTGGTAACTGCAGCTTAAAATACAAAGCTTAAATGTCAGTCACCTGACCACAATGATTGGCCTCAAAGTCTGTAGTTCCTGTAATTAAAACTGACTTGATCAGATTCTGACATTATCACAAAAATCATTCAAGTAAAATGGTCAATTCACAGAAAGAACGATAGGGCTAGAGAACCTCTTCTGAATCTCCTTAAGGATATTTCTGACTAAAGATCTAGATTTAAATATTATTTTTAACCTCTGTGTAGAATATAATGGAAATTTGATACAGTCTATATAATGCAGATTGTAATATAATCTAATGAATTGAATTAAAGGGCATTTCATGTACTCTTATGTCAATATATACATGTGCAATGTTATTTTTTTTAAACAAATGTTACTTTGAATAAACACTGTGGTTACAATCTAAATAATTACTAGTCCTTTAAAATACTAAGATGTTTTATTTACTTGAAGTTTGACAGATCTTTACTATATAGTGACAGCTGAAGTTGAATGTACTTAAAAGTGCTCTACAATAATAGGGCCTGGGATCCCAGTTTCCAAAACAATATAGGGAGATGTGACAGTCACAACCAACAGGGAGAGGCACAAGCTTATTAAGAAGACGTAAGAGAAAATTGGAGGAAGTGAGACAAATTGAGGGGGGTAGCGAGAAAATGTTGTCATAAGTAAGAGAATTTAGGGAGAAGTGAAAGAACTTGCTGTGACAGGACTTGGGCTGAAAGAAATTAGAGAATTAGGGAGATGTAAGAAAAATTAGGGAAAAGAGAAATTGAAGAAATTTGGGAGAAAATTAGGGTGAAGTTAAGACAAAATGAGAAGATGTGAGAGAACCTACAGAGAAGTGAAAGAACATGGATCAAAGTGAGATAATTTAGGTAGATGTAAGAAAAATTTGATGAATTGAGAGAACTTGGGGTGAAGTGAGAGACTTAAGGTAGAAGTAAGAAATTTGGGATGTGTAAGACATTGAAAAGATGTGACAGATAATATTGTCAAGTAAGAAGTCATTTTAACATTCTCATTTGATGAAATGTTGTTTGCTTTTAAGATCGTATCTGAATCAGTGAAACTATCATTAAATACCAATCCCACTTTAACTTAGAGAAAGTTTTAATTTTATTTCCTTGTCACTTGTACATTTCAATATGTTTTGTATTGAGCAGACGACATTTGTCCATTAAAAACAAAAACTTCATTATGTGTTCAATATTTCATTTGCTGCACACTGAACATTTTTCAAAAGAAACAGGATGTTTTACGCTTGTATCACGTAACCGTAACCACAGGGTTTAAACACAATTTTCAATTTAAAGTAATGCATATTGTGTCTCTTTTAGTTTAAGATAGAAAATGTTTTGCAAAAAAAATTTTATTCAAGCACAGAACAGACTAAAAAAATTTGTTCCCAATACAGTGGTTCAGAATTCCATTTTCAGACACGTTTTGTTGTTAAAACAATGTTTCAATTGAAATAATGTTTTGCAGACAAAAGTCTGTCGATTGCAATAATGACTATTTTTCAACCAATCAAGACTTGGAACCATTCTTAAGTTTGTTATCAATTACCATGAAAGATACATAATAAAGGTTTACCAACATACATATTTTTGTAAGTGCAATTAAGCTACTTTTTATCTTTTTTAAATCCACCTACATCAATACTTTATTTTTTGTAACAAAATGCATGAATGATAAGGGGATGGTTTAAAGGGAGAGTCTCAGATATGCTATGCCTAATATGTTTATAAATACACTATAACACATCCTACAGGACTTTATCTCTTGAATCCAAGCACCCTCAAGGTCTGCATTGCATTGAAAAAGGGACTAAGGTCATTCTTTTGACTTCAAAATCAGATCAAAATTGATCCATGTTTTTTTTTTTCGAGTGCAAACTACACCAGCTATTTACTTCAGCCCATTTGATACAAAATTTGTTGTAATTTATACCTTGTATACAATATCATTGGCCCATAGATGCCACAATCTGCTTTACAGACCTATCTGGGACTATACCTTAAAAATAGTTTATATAGGCCTACATGCTCACCAAACTATAAAAAATAACTGAACATCCTATTGACACAATACAAAGGATTGGAGGGTAAAAGATTATTATGTCGCAGACTCATATTACATACTGTATTGAAAGGTAAATATACCTCTCACAAACATAATAGAATTAGATGATAGCCTGTTGTCAAAATTATTCTCATATTGTAGATCCTAGTAATCTTAGCTCAAGATATTATCATTTGAATCATTTACAAATTAATGAACAGCTCATCAATTTAAACTAGTTCACAAGCAATTAATTTCAAAGTTAAGTACACAATCAAAATATATTGCAGTTCAATGAGGAAAATTTTGTCTGGAAAGTGCCATCATCTTACTCTTTTTATATAATTTCAACTGTCAAGAGATCTTTAACATGCACAGCCAGCAGCACACAGGGTCTCCGTATACTGTCCAAATGGAACAACTAGAAGCTATTATCATGCCAGCCATTATAACCTGCATCACTGACAAGGTTGAACATTAACTCTTCAGCTTAGCGAGCAAGCATCTAACTCACTAAATCAGTCAGCTCCCTACAAATCACAGATATTTAAATGACCATTGGAACGTTAAAACACGAAAACCAAGAAATGAAAGAGTTAAATGTCTATATTTGTACATTACTGATTCAACAAGGTATTTTTTGAATTAATAATTGTCAAATTATCTTGACATTCTGCAGAACACAGGGCTCTAAACTGTCAAGAGATCATTCAAGTGCACAAAAGATTAGTGAGCAAGAGTCAACTGCCATATAAATTGAACAGTGAAAATAAAGTTCAAGGTATAAATCTATCAAAATAAAAGTGCAATTGTAATATACATTGTCTGTAAGTTTCGGTACATATTACTAATTATGTATTAATCTTAATTAAAGTTCAGTCTTGTAATATTGGTCATTCCGTTACCAAGCCAGTCATTTCGTTACTCAAAGTAATGTCATATTGTTTAAAATCAGAAACAATGCAATAAAATATAACTAACTTCAATTTGATTACTTTTCTTTCTACAAAATATTTCCTTAAAAACCTATAATGTTTGTAATTAAGGTACCTGTTAAAACTTGATCATATGAGACAAAAGACCTCAAAAAGACCTTATAACCCCTAACTTTTTCATATCATAAGCTAATTGAAAAGCATAAAAATATATTACCTAGAACTACAGTATACTAGTAAATTCTCCACAAGTATCAACTTGTAATGCACTGAGCTAACAATGATCAGTTTCAGAAAGAAGGGCCTTATTGTACTGTATTACAGTGTAAGTTGATTTCTGGAGAATCTAAACTAACCATGCTAATGATTGCCAACAGTATATCTAACATATGTAGGCCAAGCAGGAGCAATTGAATTGTCAATATCCTACTGAGCAAACCCAACTGATTCTTCATTAGTTAAAATCTCATTTGGTTAAGTTTATTGTTTTCCAAAGTAATTAAATTAAGCTCATCATTTTAATTAAGTTATTGAACACTTTTTGAACTTAAACGACTTTAAGTTTGTGTTTAGGTTTGATTATAAGAATGGATAACCTTGACAACTATGAGGGCTAGGATAATCATGGTTGGAAATGATTGGTTTCAGCATTGCCACAGAAATTGGACTAAATAATTCCCTTTTGAAGTTCTTTCAAAACATGATGCTTTAGAATCAATAACCACATGAGTTTATTTTTTTTATTTTCAAAAGATGTGATATTATTGTGAAGAAAATGGTTATTAGGGTAATTTTTGCAATATATAGCTAACATTGGCATTTAACTATAAACAGTTTTATATATAATTCTATGGGAAAGATAACATCTATAGATCTAGGTCTGTAAATAGCATAAAAAACATGTATTAAGGATTTATATGATTAACTTTTATATTATATAACATCCTTATATACCATATTTAATAGTTATATATCCATATTAACTTCATATACCACAGTTATAAACCCTATTATTATTATAGAATAGTTATTATCACTTTTATATACCATCATTGTACACAGGTTCCTTACAAACCCAGGCTTAAATGAATTCATATAATCCATGTCACAAAAAACCGTCAATATATTTAACCATAAGGTTTTAACATAATAGAACTATAATTTCCAGAACTAGAATAATGCCTTCAAGACCATTTAGAGTAGGATACAGATTAAATGCAACCAAAATCAGTAAAAACATTGCTCTTTTATTAACTCAATTTTCTAGACTGGAGTGTCCCTTAAAATGTGGAAAGGTTTTAATGGATTATTAAAGTGCAAAGTAAACTGAAATGCCAGGAGCAACACTTCATGTTGGCCCATCTCAAAATGGCAAAATTAATGAAACTAGTATATAGGCCTTATTATAACACTCAATTCAAGTATTAGAATTTCAGTAAATTCAAAAATGTAAAGAACAAACCTCGATTGTTTTGACAATGCAAATCCATTGGCTTCTTCTGAATAAAGACAAACAACATCCCCAACACATAAAGTGTCATCCATGTCGAATAAAACAGTACAAAAATAAAATCACAGTTCACTAATTCTTCTAGTATAACATGGTAATTAAACAGTCACAATACTGAGATGACAAATTCTCTCTAACAATTAAAACCCCGTCCTGCTCAGTTGTAAATATAAAAAGACAAGTGAATTGCAATCCACGTTGAACGACATATCACCTTTCACAATAATTGAACGACTGAAATCCTACTCACAAAATGGTTGCTAAGGTACACAACACGTGTGGCTGTACGGATTATCAAACAGTTTATGATAGAGAATTATTCAGGCGTGTAATCCAGGGTTGATTTTGATATTGTTTATCGTACATTCTTATAAACCAATAAATTTCGCAATTTAAATCAACGTTTACAGTGTATGCGTTCTTTGTTTAAATGAGATACAAGTAGATGCATTACGGTTGCGGGAGGTGGGGTGAGTTGGAGAGGGACCAGTACATTTGTGTTGAGAAACAACTTTACTTTCCTTATGAACGTCGCTCCTCTCGAAGCATAGGCCACGGCCACTTATTCCAGATGTGTTACATCTTCTTCTTCAGCCCCAATGTCCCGTCGCCCGATGTTCTTTGATCGTCCACTCTTCCGTTTTCTCTGTTCCAGCATAGCGATTGTCTGGTTTTGCTACTTGATGGCTTCCACAGTGAATGACCAATACATCACAATCTACAGCGACCAATCCTATCTTCAACTGGCGGTTGGTGGGTACGCTGGCATTGGTCATAGTTACTGATGGTGCTGGGCCAGTGGAACCGGAGGATCGGGCAACTGTTGATGACGCTCTGTACTTTCCTGGTGGTGTTCTTGGATAGCACTGGCTTGGCATCGGAATTGCACAGAAAAATCTTTACCTCAGAGCTCCGTATGTTCCTGCAAGTAGGCCTACGTCGCCATCGCCTTGCCAATTCTCGATCTGCGCCACCATTTTTGTCAATAATGCTTTACAGGTGATTAAAGACCTCTAGTTCTTCTAGCTTGCTTCCAGGCAATATGACTGGGTTTCGCTTTTAGTGTTGATATTGGGAATCTTGGTCTTGCTAATATGAATCTTGAGACCAATATGTTGGGAGATGACTTCCAGTTCTGTGGGAAAACAGGGCTAGGTCGACTGCGAGGTCCAGGTGATCAAGCTCCCATAGTCTTCATTGCATTGGACCCCCGTTTCTTTAATGGAGTGTAACACTGCAACAGTTGTCATCTTCATGGACCGGTTGATTTCCTGGACGAAAAAAATGGTAATGGGAGGCAGCCTTATCGAACTTTAGTCCGAACCTGAAAACTGTATGCAAGCTGTTAACTGTGGACCACTCGGCAGTTTGAGTTTCGTATGAGTTTCCGATCAAGGTGACCAGTTTCATAAAGACGTAACAACCTCCAGAGGGTTCCTGGGTCAACGCTGTCTTTTATTTTCCCCAAAGTTTGAAGTTTATGAGTGACAGTTTAGCAGAAATACATCGGCAATGATTGTGGAAGATGGGGAGATACAAGGTGATGAGTAATGGTTTAGAGTAGATACAAATGGATAAATAATAGTTGTGATTGTTGATGAGTTATGTTCGTGATGGGATACAAGTCGATGAGTAATGATTGTTAGGATATACAAGTTGGGGAGTAATGGTTGTGGGGATATAAAAGGAGAGTAATGGTTGTAACATAGAACAAGAAATTTGATGACTAATGATTTATGAGTTGGTTGTAAGGAGATACAAGTTGATGAGTAATGGTTGTGAGGAGATACAAGTTGGTGAGTAATGGTTGTGAGGAGATACAAGTTGAAGGGAAGTTGTAAGGAAATGCATGTTGATGAGTAATGGTTGCAAGGAGATGCAAGTTGGTGAGTAATGGTTGCAAGGTGATACAAGTTGGTGAGTAATGGTTTTAAGGAGATACAAGTTGGTGAGTAATGGTTGTGAGGAGATACAAGTTGACGGGAAGTTGTAAGGAAATGCATGTTGATGAGTGGTTTTAGGGATATTGAAGTTGATGAATGATGGTCGTAAGGGGATACAAGTTGATGAATGATGGTCGTAATGGGATACAAGTTGATGAGTAATGGTTGTTAGGAAATATAAGTTGATGGGTAGTGGTTTTGAGGAAATACAAGTTGATGGGTAGTGGTTTTGAGGAAATACAAGTTGATGGGTTGTGGTTTTTGAGGAAATACAAATTGATAGGTGGTGGTTTTAAAGAGATACAAATTGATGAGTAATGGTTGAAAGGATATACAAGTTGATGAGTAGTGATTTTAAGGAGATAAAATGACATTCTGAATTGACAACTTGTTTCACATTATAGAGATGCCATAAAAACACAAATCATTCTGGTATAATATATATTTAATTAATTACATTTTTACTGCTCCTCTGCAGTTAATCTAACATGTGAATTTAATTTTGAATTTCAAATTCTATACAAAAAAAAAAAAAACCTTTTGTAACTCATACACGCATACAAACCACACATCCATAAATTGATTCAGACATTTTAAGCTCAACATTCATTATCACTTGACTGACAATAACACATTTCAATTTCTAATTCAACACCTATAATATTAAAAAGAAAAGTTCTAAATATTTGTTTTGCCCATGTGATATCCATATTATTAACATCCTGTTCAGATATGACTGATATATTGTCCTTATTGCTAAATGTTTTAGAGAAAGTTGATGATTATCTGAAAGATAATACAAACGTTTTTTAATTGAAGGAGAACAGAACAGTATTTATCAGATGAAATAGCAAATATTTAGACAACTTTATCTTTATCCTTATTATCCAGACTAAAAAAAAAAGACCATCTATAGCAATTTATATTCAACATTGTGCAAATAAATAAACAAAATAAACTTAGGTCCATCTTTTTGAGGCTACTTATGAATTAAAGTTCTGTTCACAACACAAGAGAATACTCTTAGTCTTGGGGTTTTCCACGACCCATATGTAGACTCTGTAATAATGGTAACAAGTTTGGAAGAATTCCAGTATCAGTGGGAATAGTTGCTTGTTGCACATCTCCACTGTTTAAGGCACTCTGTGGGGAATGGTTGGTACTTGGGAATGAAGGTGGTGGTATTGAAAACCTTTGAGCAGAAGATACAGATGGGATACAGGATGACTGTAATCTAAGAGTATTTTGTGGGTTAATTGCAGGAAGTCTGGCAGTATAGTTAGGCATTCTGTTCACCATTGCTGGCATCCTCATATTATTCATTTGTTGTAAATTATTTTGTGGTTCATAGTTCATACTGGGACTAGGTGCCATCATCATATTGGGCCAATACATAGCATTCTGTGGATCAACAGGCATCTGTTGCCCAAAGTAGCCCCATTGTGGTAGTATGGGATTAGGCATCATAGATGGATATGGACCAGCAGGTGACATCATACCAGAAAAAGAAGGATCCATTTGTGATGTCATCATTGATTGTAATAACAACTGTTGGTGATGTTGTTGCTGTAAATAGTTAATATTGTTTTGATTTTGATTGGCAAAGGCACTTTGGTTTAAGGATTGTTGCTGAGGTTCATTTGGATTAGCACTGTTGAGAACTGTTAGTGGTTCCTGCACTGTGTTGCTAGTAGCAATATGTGTATTCTGCTCAGATTCTCCTTCATTTTGATCTTTAGTTGGTGTTGGATGAATAACTAATGGAGCTACACGGTTTGTTTTAACATTTGTCTGAGTATTTTCTTCAACATTTTCACTTTCCTGAAAAAATATAGAAATAACCTATTTCCTAGAAAAACAATATTTCCGTAATGTCAACAAGCAAACAATTATGATGTAACAAACAATACTTGCTTATATTCTAAAACACAACATTTTATGCACTTGCAATGATTGTTACATAACAAGCCACTTTCCCATCTGTAAGACCTTTGTCAATCATATTATGCTTGATAAACTCAAGACAACTGTGCTATGAATATTACTTTACCTCTTTATCACCATCAACACCAATTTCACCACAGTCAGATTCATCTTCCTCATCTGAATTACCTAATTTACAAATATTTTATTGATACTTGGTTATTTGTACAGAGGACAAATCAGGAGACTACCCTTTTTGAAGTTTCAAAATCATAGATATGATTTAAAAGAAATCAGATGTAGACAGGGCTTGGTCAAATGTACAATTCCCATATGTTGCTTCTTCGATACCAGCCCCACAATCTAGGTATGGGAAACCAATATCAAAATGCCAGATACTATCTTGAACTAAGTCGAGATAACATGGCAAAAATGAAATGAAATGAATGGAGTTTTATGTCCTACTTTTCTGCACCATGTGAGCGAATGGAGATGGGCAACTCCATGCAGAATACAATGAGGGAAATTTTTCCAGGACAGCGGCATTAGCCTGCTCTTTTTTGATTTCCAACTGTCGAGGGATCTTCAACGTGCACAGCTTGTGGCACACAGGGCCTCGATTTATTGTCCCATCTGAACAACTAGATGCTGCATCACTGACCGGGGGGGGGAGGGGGGGGGAAAACCAGGTTGAAAAATCCAAAGGTATCATCTCGACCTATGCAGGGATTGAGGAATTTTAGTGTATATTACTTACAAGCTTGTAGTTTTTGTATTTCTTCAATAACTTCTGTTGTCATATTTATCTGTATTTCTACCTCGTGTAACTGATTGACTAATTCCACTGAACTTCCTGTATGTGACATCATTTCTTGTAAAATACGTTTTCTGAAAAAGAATGGAATTAATATGAAAATAAGAGGATTTTCAGACAATGTTTTTTGACATTTGATGAGCCATAAACTATATTCTTAAGAAAGATTTTAGGAGTATTCTACAATTAAGTGAACAAACCGTTTAAATTCAATTGCTTTAAGTGTCAACTGTAATTCCTCTAGTTGTAACTGAGATTCTTCTAATTCTTGAGCAATTCTAGCTGATAAATCAAATTCTTCTTCTTCATCATCATCTTCTACCTTGTTCTCTTCTTCTATACCCTTAAAATCAACAACAAAATATATAAATAAATCTCCCATTAATATAGACGGTCATCAAATATGTTTGGTTGGTAAATTCTATTTAAGCTTGATTAATCCATTGAATTTAAGTAAAATATTTCCACAACTATGATATGGAAGGTCTCAGGACCGATTCTTTAAATACCTTAATATCTTACCTTCCAGTAATTATCATCTATATTAAAACTCTGTATCATATTACATATTGCTCTTCTTAATTCTTTACTCTCATGATCAAATAATTCTAATATCTTGGGCACCCTAAAATTAATTTAATTACTGTGATTTATTGAGGCTAAGGCCTCTATAATAAATTCATTATTCCAATTATTGTGATTGGTGGGGCTAGGGCACTCTGTAATAAATCTATTAGTTGAATCCTGTGGGGTCTACATTTCCTGGGACATTGTGAATTGTTCAACCTACAAATTTACATTACCAAATATCATACACAAGGGAGAAAAAAAATAAAAATCCACATTTTTATGTCAATAAAATATATGCTTCAGAGGCTTATTCATTTCACTGCAAGACTTCAAATGTGTTGTATGATTATCATTTCATGTCTCTAATACTTTACAAACAATTCAAGAACATTTATATCATATCAGTTAAGTATTTATTCTACTTACTCTTCTAATGCATAAAGGGAAATAACTTGTTTATCTGGATACATAGAAGATACACCATAACTGTAAAATATATTACATTTTAAAATTAAGCATACCAAATGGACAAAAGCACTTAATTGTGGGACTTTGCTTTCAGCAAAGTCCCAGTTTGTTATCGAAATGTCAATTCTTTTTTTTTTTTTTTTTTTTTTCGAAATTTACACACCTTCCTGAGCTTAGACTACAATAGTTGCAGCAACCATTCAACTTCTCTAGACCTTCTATAGTGGCGACGTGTTCCTTAAGTATATATTGGAACATTTTTGCAAAACCGGAAGTGCCACAGTTCAACATGTGCAAAAAGTCGAAAATCGGTTCTAGAAGGCGTATTTTTGCATCGATTTTCTTCGGGTTTTCATTTCTACAATCATTTCTACAAATCTGACCTGATAGCACTTAAACAATTTCAAATTTCGAAAATTCGTAGCATACATTTTTTGGCCGATTTTCGAAATTTTTTGACCATTTTTCAGTTTTTTTCGGATTAATCTTAAATTTTGATAAAAGATGCATGTCACTAATGTAAACCATTTGACGTATTCAAAATTTTTGCGTCACTTCCGGTTAAAGTGGAAAATCGATTTCACTTCCGGTGAATACTCC